TTTAGGCTGAGATATGTTTGTTTAAGTGTCAAAATCTCAGTCAGAATCAGTTTTTTTTTTTTTTTTAACAAATTTGAAATAATTCCTTCTTCCCACGACCTATCGCAAAATCAAACATGAAAAATTTATCCGCATTTATTTTTTGTGTGGAACACAAAAAAATCAAATTTCAGTCTTATTTTACATTTTTTTTATTCTTAGGAATGTCTAAATTCAGTTAAACTAGCAATTCCGTGTTATATTTGTAAGTCTTTATAACATTATACAAAAATTAGATTTTTCGTAACAACTGAAATTTTGCCGGGAATAGGGCTTTAAATTAGTACATATTTTTTTAGCATGGCGCTAACATTTTAAGTGTGCAATCTTTGCTTATTTTTCCTAAGCGTTATGTTTATTCGCATTAATTATTGCTGGCAAGACCCCTGGGTCTTCAGAGGAAAACCTGTATTTAGAAAATTATAATGCCTGTGAGGGGTAGACAGGTATTTTAATGCAGATTATTATTTTGTCTTTATTTGTTGCAGATCATCAAGAGTAAGTGATCTGGTATATCCACATAACACTGTTCTGGATGATAGTATTGGTTGTGCCATATGGTTTGCTGCAAGGGGGAAAGACAAGCATTCGTACACAAGTCAGTGCAAAGTAAGCTCTTTGTTCCCCTACATTTTTACATGCAAAATATGAAATATTTATATATACATATACAGTATATATATTTTTTTCTTTCTTTGTCAGACTCCTCTTCTGTTACGTTTTAATTATATTATTGATTGCACCATTCCTCCTCCTGTTTCTGGGGTTTTTTTTCCTTCCAACGCCTTTTAATCAATATATATTTGTTATTGCAACTGATTTGGATTAGGCAACTGTGAGCTCTTGGTAGCCATGGAGCAGTACCTACCAATTAATCTGTACACCATGTGACAACCCCCTACCCCCTAACTAATAACTTGCATGTTGAATTGCATATGGGCGTGGCCGACCCGTATAAAAGCGCTTATAGTATAGCTATACAATATGTTCAAATCATTCCATAATCACAGAGGCTGAAATATTATACTATGACATCGGGGTAGCCCACAAGCCAAATTTGTACGCTGGACGTCCATTTTAAGTACTTATTGGAGAAGGATTGTTTCTAGCAACCCAACCCTGGCCGAGGAGCAGCTGCAACCTGCGCTGATATTAAGGCTTTAGTGAGCAGCACTGCTTTATACATTCTATCCAATGGATGAGGTATTTAGAGTAACATTCAAAATAATACAAATAATAACAAAAATAGAAAGGTAAAAGTAGAACGTACAAACCTATTTTCCTTACCTTATTTACCGATGCATTAATAATACGGATTTCCCTTGTTAAAAAGTCTGTCAGCAAAACTGAATTTCATTTCAATCGGAAGTCGATAACATCCTTTTAATTGAGCAATGTAATCTTAAGATGAATATTTTAAGGTTTCTGTCATTTCGATTATAGACAGTGTACTATACTGCGAAAAGAGAGCTCGATTATTTTACCACTGACTAATTTTGAATTTCTATTGATTGACAACGGACACAAGGCTATATCCCTGACGCCGATTTTTTCCAATGATTTCATAAATCAGGATGTAAAAAAGGCCAAAGATGGAGACCTGACGAGGTTTTTTCAACCATAATGAAGTAATGTAGTACCCAGATGGAACAGCTATCCATGCTCATGGCGTTAACGCCTATGCGCACTCGTGCGGCAATTGGAAGGCCCCCTTCAGTAACCCAACCCATCAGTTCATTGCTCTATAGCATCCTGATTCAATGGGCTTTGTTGATACATAACAGCATAATGTGTCTCTGACATCGACTGTAGGACATATATATTATATTAATCCAGTGGGGGTGGGGTGCCCAGGCAGCTAGTTTCCCCTACATTTGTCAAAATTTAAAAAAATTGAGATAAAATATTCAAGTTTTTAGTCTGAATGAGTGCCATTACCGGGCATCTAGACGTGTTATAATCATAATTTGCTTTGCGACTCCCTCTTAGTATAGAATAGACTATAGGTCCTTGATTAGACCTTTGTCATGCTCGTGAGGGGAGGGTTGTCTAAGAGAGGGGAGCATGGCTCCCATCGGGAAGAATTCATCTCCGTTTGTCTATAGGAGCCTATTCTTGAAATTTGCTCAACCATGGTGGGCTAAGGTGGGTGTGGACTACTTATTGGGCTCTCCGTCAGGAAATTCTGGATCTGCCCCTGTTACAGCATAAGAAGCAAGAACATTACATCTCAGCCAAACAGTCGCCTCACTGTATCAAAGTGAATTTGTTTTTTACACTGACATAAGCAGCCTCAATGATGGACCTAGGGAGGGTATTGATTTTGCCTTGGTTCTTCCTGTTTACTTTAACTCATTTGCATTCTTTCTTTAAAACCCAGGTTGTACTTGTTGGTATGGGAGCAGATGAACAGTTGGCAGGATACGCAAGACACCGAACACGATTTAGGTAAGGCCCTGTCCAGACTTTGTCCTCAGCTGCATATTTGGAATTTGGAAGCCATGTGTAATTTTATCTGGCTTATTTAGCATGTGCCATGTCCTGCACTCACGTAGTTAACACATTGACTGCCAGACCTTTTTTTTTTAGGTTCCTTCCCATGTGCCAGAACAAGTATACATGTACAAACATGCTTTTTTGAAATTCTAGTCTGTGGTTCTACAATGTATAACAAAGAAGTAATAAACGCTAGAATGTTACCCCGATTTTGACGAATATAGTCATCTCTAGCAGTCTCACCTGTCGGACAAGTATCCTTGTCGCTGACAGCCAACGTGTTAAGCCACTGCTGATGGTTATTTGGCAAAGCATGTCACATGCTATGAATGTACCTAAATATGTTGAGATATCGTAAATGCTTGAATACGCGCTGCGGCGCTTATAACATTTTTGGAGGCTTCAATGTGGCGCTTATTTGAGAGCGGGGGCTTATAAAAAGATGTTGGCGTGCCGTTTACCATGCCCATCCTATGTCATCATAAAATAAACGTTTATAAAGAAATGAATGTGTTTTCATTGTGTTTTTTATTCATGTCAACGCAGTATACATTGTATTTAAAACCCTGTTTCTCAGAGTGTTTATTACACACAGGTAATATAGAATATTTTGATTAAGCACCGTGGCGCTTATTCAAGAGCGGCGCTTAGAAAAAAGATCAGGTTTGGTGCGGCGCTTTTTCGAAAGCGGCGCTTATTCGAGCATTTACAGTATGTTATGAATATGCCTAAATATTTACACATAAATGGTTATGATGACTTCAGATCGTCACCATATATAGACACGTCATCATGAAAATTTGATAGTCTGGACAGAGCCTTAACATAACTTTTTTTTTGTTTGGCCCTCTAGGGCTGATGGTTGGCAAGGTCTCGTTGATGAGCTGGAGATGGAGCTTGACAGGATTCCACAAAGAAACCTCGGCAGAGATGACAGGTACTACTAGAATACAAAGCATAGCCGCCTTAAAAATTGGATTAAATTTCATCAACAGCAATAATAACAACACATTCCCCCCTTTCTTTCATAAACGCTCCTTTTTTTATGCTAATCACCTCATCTAGAAGTCTTGAAATGG